AGTCTGAAATACACTACATGTTTTCCTGTCTAGATGTTTGTCAAATTTCTTTTTCTCTGAAATGAAAACAAAAAGTTTCTAGATACAATTCTTATTTTATAAATTTTACCTGAAATATAAAATGGACTCATCTCTTTGTAGATCATTAATCTCAGGAAGATTTCTTCATCACGTTCTTTTTATTGTTTCTGCTTCATCAGAACTATCTGGAAACCCATTTCTAGGTCAATCTCTATGTCCTCAGTATTTATTCTTTCATTTTAGTTTTGGCCATTTATATTCCTAGAAGAGTACCTCAAATTTGTCTCCCACATAACTAGATTCATTTCATATTGTTAATTCTACTAATTTAGGCCTCAGGTATAGTTTTAAAGCAGCAGCTGGAAAAATAACATGAACTTTAAAATGGAAGAGATTGTGGTTAAATCCAATTATCCTATTTCTGACTATACGGCCTGGACAAATCACTTAATATCTATGTTTATCAGTTTTTCACGTGCAAAACAAGAGTCCCACTATCTACTTTGCATAATAAACATGAGACTTAGAAATATTTGTGAAATTCTTATCGGTGCCTGATACATAATTTAAACATAATCAGACCTGCATTATTATGAATTATCTTATTATGGTCTTTTTCTGCTTGTTTAATTTTACTTTAGACTGTTTCCTATATAATCTCAACTTGTTCTGTATAAAAGATTCCATTCTTATTTGAAAGAAACCCTCTCTCTTCAAATTTTATTAAGAGAGGTAATATTGGGTTGTATTTAAGAGAATGGATTTTGTGATCAAACTGTCAGTGTTTGAATTCTGGTTCTATCACTTACTATGTAACTGGGCCAGTTACTGAACTTCTATGATCTAGTTTTCTCATCTACACAGGTTAAGACCTCTCATGTGTTATCTGTATTAAATGTGTGACTATATATAAAGTGTTTAGAAGAATACCTGAAAGATAGAAATTACTTGGATAGGAAAGCAGGTAATACTCTTCTACTTCCTAGAGTTAATCATTTCAGAATATTTTCTTTTCCTAGAAATCCTCTGAGAATATTCTCCTTTAGTTGAGCAGGAAAATCTCTTCGTAAAGACTTCCTACTACACTCGGGACCAGCAGTTGGCATAATGGCTATGTCGCTGGATTCCCATGTAGTCGACCGCGGTTCAAGTCCTGGACCCCGGTGGCTTAAACTCACGCCGGGTACATGTGTGTGCGTGCCCAAGATCCTGAGAGGAGAATTGAGAAGGGATTGTGGCGTGGCCATCCCCCCTGGGGGAGTGATTTCTCGCTTTCTGTCTCTCTGTCTGTCTCTGTCTGGCGAGCACACGCGCCCTATAGCAAAAACCTCTCAAAAAAAAAAAAAAAAAAAGACTTCCTACTACACTTATTTGTGAATAAAAAAAAACAAACAAAACAAAAAAACACTAGTCATAGTGTTTGTCAGGTGAGGCTTAGTAAATCATACCAAGTCGTTTCACACTAATGTGGCTCCAACCTCCAAATCTGACCTTAGGTAAATGTACATACTCTCTGCCCATTTTCTGGTTATCCATTTAACTTAAAAATCTTGGCCTAGGGCTAGCTCCATGATGCAGTGTTAATGTACTGCTCAAGAGAAGCTGGATTCCACTTGGTAACTGCTGTTCAAATCCCAGCCCCTTTAGCTTGGTTTCAAGGCAAACATGCAAGGCACACATACAAATGTCCAAGATAAATAGGCTAAAGGACTAGAGGAAGGGGATCATAGTGTGACCAGATCCTGGGAAGGGTGCTCCTCTCTCTTTCTAATGTGTGCACACAAGCACTCTATCATCATGAATAAAGAAAAGAAATTATTGGCCTTAACATTTTTTCATGGCTCACAAAGCCTAGTTCTCTTAACAGTGAGAAAAAATATGAGGTTCTTTAACAGAGTTCACAAAAATACTCTGCAGAAAACTGTTTCCAGGGTTCTTCCTGCTTTGCCCAACACAAAACACCCCATGTGAAAGGAAGGCATATAGCAATACTCAATATTCCATCCTCTATATACCAACAGTATCCACCATTCTGCATTCTAGAACCACTAGAAGTATATTCTATTTTAGGTCAGCATGCATTATGGAAGATTTGATCTGTTCCACTCGCAATAGTTCTAAATTGGTGAGCAGTAGTACACTGGTGTTTCATGAACCCTCAAGTGTGAGCAGCTGGATTCTGGCAAATGTCACTTAATTTTGTCTAACCTGAAAATGGAGTCATGTGTCACATAGGATAGGCCAGTCGATGACAGACCTCATATACAATGTTGGTCCCAGAAGTTTACAATGGAGCTGAAAACTGATATTTCTTTGTGACATCCTTAGCCAATGGAACCTTGTAGCTCAATGAGTTATTGATGTGTTTATGGTGATGCTAGTGTAAACAAACCTATCGCATTGCCAACTATATAAAAGCATAGCACATACACTTAAATACAGTATATAACACTTGCTAAGAATAAATGACTATGTTGCCATTTTATGTACGTATTATATTTTTTAGCATTAGAGTGTAAAAAAAAACACTATAAAGCACTACACTATGTTATGCCAACAGCAACCTAATAAATCTAATATTTATTGTGTACACTGATTACATTGCTTTTTTCTTGTGCTTGATTAATCTTGTATTGTTTTGTTCATCATGGTCTTCCAGTGAGACAAGATGTGGAGGCCAGTGAAACAAGATGTGAAGGTAGAAGACGGTGATATTGAGGATCCTGATCCTGCAACCTAGGCTAATATGTGTGTTTGCATCTTAGACTTTAACAAAAAAAGTTTAAAATATTAAAACAATTTAAATAAAAAATGCTTATGATTAAGGACATAAAGAAAAAAAAAATTTAGATTTATTTATTTATTTCTTCTGAGAGAGAAACAGACAAGACAATCCCCAAAAAAAGTCTTCATGCCATGATCCATTCCTAGTTTCAGCCAGCCTGGATCATGAGCACATCTGTCTGACATACCCAAAGAGATCTCAGGATACAAAGTCAGGACCTTTCCATGTTGGCCCCCTTTAATTACTGTTGTGTCACCACCTCTTTTTTCCTTTCTTTAATAAAGAGAGATTTTTGCAATAGGGCATTTGCACTCACTGGAGACAGAGAGAGAAAGACAGTAAGAAATCACCCCCTGAGGAGATGGTCACACCAAAATCCCTTTTCCTCCATTCTCCCCTCGGAATTTTAGGCATTCACTCAATTGTACCCTGCATGAGTTTTAAGTCTCTGGGTTCAGGATTCAAACCATGGTCAGCCATGTGGGAGTCCAGTGCCTTAACCATTATGCTACCTGCTGGCCCCCTACCAACTGTTTTTTACGATTATACAATGCATAAAGCTAAGTGTTACTACATAGGAGTCAGAAGTTAAATTCTTTTTAAGGTTTATGAAGTAAAAAAGTTGCAGTAAGCAAAGGTTCATTTATTTGTTGTTGCTGTTTGGTTTTTGTTTGCTATAGGGTGTGTGCGCTTGTGGGAGACAGACAAGAGAAAGTAAAAAATCACCCTCCAGGAGAGATGCCATGACTCAATCCCTTCTTCTCTATTCTTTTCCTGGGATTTTGGGTATGCACGCATGTACCAAATGTGTTTTTCAAGCTGCATGGTGTGGGACTTGAACCACCCAGTTGGCCATGTGGGATCCAGCCACCTTAACCACCATGACGTCAGCTGGCCCAGCAAAATTAACTTATTATTGAAGAAAGGAAACTGTATTGTTTATAACTTTAATGTAGCCTAAGTGTACAATGTTTAAAGGTCTACAGCAATGTCCTGGGCCTTCACATTCACTCACCACTCACTCGCTGACTCAGAGCAATATCCAGTACTGCAAGCTCCATTTATGGTATGTGCTCTATATACTATACCTTTTTGGTTTTATTTCAAATTTTAATTGTATCTTTTCTATATTTAGGTATGTTTGAATACCTAAGTACTTAACATCATGTTACAATTGTCTACAGTAGTCAGTATAGTAAAATGATGTACAGGTTTATAGCTTGGAAGCAATAGGTAGCCTAAGTGTGCTGTAGACTAGATCATCTAGGTTTGTGTAAATATACAGTATCTACCTAACAATGAAGTTACATAACAACACATTTCTCAGAACATATCCCTATCAGTAAGTGACACATAACTGTATATACTGTTATATTGATGGCTGCCAGTTAGAATGCTGAAATGAGCTGGTTTCATGATAAAATATGAAATGGGGAAAGATTTACTATAAGCAATATTTAAGATTTATAACTAATAAAATTTCTGCCAAAGAAATACTATGTGCCATTTACTAGAACATACAAGAATTTATTTATTATTTTTATGTGAGGACACAAAGATTTTGGTCAAAAGAGTAAAAACTGCCAACAGAAAAAGTGATAAACTGCTGAAGAGTGAATAGTAAATTAACTGTGGATACCATTACAGACTTGTTATAATGCCATGAGAATCAGGTTGTAGTTAGTTGCCAATTTGTTTAGTATAGCTTTGAGTTCTGTATTTCTAATTCCTTTAAATGTGCCGCCAAAACGTCTGTCATTTTGAAGTGTGCCTCAAGCATAAAAGGACAATAATTGCCTTGAGGACATTGGTTTTTCCTTGTTCTGCTGAGAAAAACCACAGAGAATAAGTAAAGATGAACCATTGGTCATTTGAGTAAGCTGCTAAGTTCTTCACAACTCAAAGTTAAAATCTTTATTTTCTTCAAAAATGTGTAATTTGGCTAGTTTTGAGTTTCCCCATTATCCCTGGTCACTTTTACCAGGGTGTCTGTATTCTTCCTATATGATAGCACTCAAGACTGAACTCAGGAGAGATGTTGATTCTAATGTAAACTTTATTATTTTCACATGTGTTATTGACCATGACATAGATTTACTGGTTTTAATTTCCAAAATTTCTTAGAATTTTAATATGAGGACCATAATTTTATACAGATATGTAAGTTACCATTACCAAATGACCAGTTACTCACTGAGCTGTTTCTTCCAGAGTTAGCAAGTTTTTTCTTCAGTTTTTTTCTTTCATGTATTAAATCATTATGGGTCTTAAGCAATTCTTCAAAGCGAACTTTGGTTTTTATTTTGGCTTCACTCTCAACTATAAAAAATAAAGACTTATATCATTCTCTAAACAAATCTATGATAATACATATGTGCAGTACTATTATGTTATGGAACACAGTCTTGCAAATTCCTGGATGAGTTCTCTAGCTACGTTAGAACCATAGCATAGCAATCACTAGTTCCTCCCTCTTAAAATATTTTTTGCTTTGATAAAACCACACTTACCTGTATTCCTTTTACTTTTTTGACTCCCACTAAAAGTGTTCTTTGCTAAATTAACCTATTTCTGTTGAACAGTAACACCTACTCCTATTAGTTATATGGCCTTAAACGAGTTACCTATTATCTGTATACCTCAATTTCCTTATCTGTAAAAATCACAATAATCCTATGTCAAAGATCATTTTCATGACAAATGGCTAACACTTTTATGGCCTATAATCAGCATTCAATAAATATTTAAAATGTATTCTTTAAAAACATAAGTCAGATCATATTATTCCTGTTTAAGCCCTGTAATTTTCTTTTCTTTTTTCTTTTTTTAAATTGTCAGAGACTCATGCACTCCCAGAGAGAAAAAGAGGCAGAAAGGGAGAAGGAGAAAGCATCCGGCAATAGGGTGTGGTCTTATGCAATTCCTCCTTCTCCATTTCTGCCTCCTGTCAGGATTTGGGGCGCAGAGCACACACACCTGGTGTGTTTTTCCAAGCTGCTGAGGCTGCGATTTGAACTGTACAGTCGGCCACGTGGGATATGACTCTTCATAACCAGGTCATGGAGCCAGCCCCAATTTTCCAATTGCACTTAGGATGAAATAAAACAAGTTCTTCACATGCCCACAGGATTGTGTCTCCTGATCTGTCCATCTCTATAGAGAGTTTTAAACAAAGACAAATATGCCTTTAGATCCCTACATTCTATCCATGCTACCTTTCTCGTAGCTCTTCTTCCTTCCCAACTAAAGCTACTTTCTCCTTGGAGTGAGTTTTCTCTAACTCTTCATCTGACTGGTGTTTATCTGTTCAAATATTGCCTCTGAAATGACATATTCCTGACAATCTCATCTAGATTTGTTTCTGACATAGGCTGTTATTTTCCTTCATAGCAGTTGACCCAACAGGAAATTATAGTTTTTATATATCTATACAAATAAATTATCTGTTTCTCTCACTATACTATGTAGTTCATAATTACACCCCTAGCTACTATCATGAAGTCTGAATGGAACAGGCATTCGATAAATAGGTTTAAATGAATAAATGTTGAATGAATGAATGTCCCACAGCAGGTGTCAACAAACAAAGGCCTGTAGGCCAGTCACCTATTTTTGTAAATAAAGTTTTAATAAAACCAGACATGCCCATTGGGTTAAGAATTGTTATGGCTGCTTTTATGCTTTAATAACAGAGTGTAGTAGTTATAGCAGAGACCAAATCTAATATATTCACTAGCTGGCTTCTCAAGAAAAACCTTCCCAGTGCCTGTTCTAGAGTAAAACATGGCATTTTAATAATAAACAACAAAAACTAACCATATGTTATAATCATTATTTACCTTGTCTAGATGAGTCCCAAACTGCCAACTAAAGAACACATATTAACCTAATGACAACATTAAATAAAAAAGTGAACATCAATTTATTAAATATCTCTAAGTGTAATATTTGGTCAATAATATCTACTCTATTCACTAATAGAGTAGATAAAGAACTCCTTAAAATAAACTAAACTAAGGGAGCCAGCAGATGGCATAGCATTTACATTGTTGGATTCTCACATGGCTGACTGTGGTTTGAGTCCTGGACCTCATGGCTTGAAATTCATGTTGGGTGCAAGTGTGCCCAAGAATCCAGGAGGAGAATGGAGGAGAAGGGATTGTGGCACGGCCATATCCCGGGGGGTGATTTCTCACTTTCTCACTATCTCTGTCTCTTTCTGGATAGTGCATGAACCCTAAGGCAAAAACCTCTTAAAAAAATTAAATAAACTTAGGACATTCAGTGACTTAGCAGAAATGCAACTGCATCTACATGGGAAAGGTCCTGGTTTCATGTCCTGAGACCTTCCTGAGAATGCCAGCTGTGTGCGTCTGTGATCCAAGCTGGCTGAGACCAAGAGTGGATTTGCCATGAGGACCCTGCTGGGTGTGCTTTTCTCTCTCTGTTTATTGGTCTCTCTCTTAAAGAAGAAATAAACTTTAAAAATAAATAAAACTTAAAAATAAAATGTATGGGGACCAGTAGTTGGTATAATGGCTATGTCGCTGGACTCCCATGGAGTTGACTGCGATTCAAGTCCCGGACCTGGTAGCTTAAACTCACGCTGGGTGCGTGTGTGTGTGTGTGTGTGTGTGTGTGCCCAAGATCCTGAGAGGAAAATGGAGGAGAAGGGACTGCGGCGTGGCCATCTCCCTGGGGGTGACTTCTCGCTTTCTGTCTCTCTGGCAAGCGCACATTCCCTATAAAAAACAAACAAACAAACAAACAAACAAAAAAGACCTCTAAAAAAATAAATAAAATGTATGGAATATAAATTTTATGTATAAGTTTTACAAATCTTACCAGTGGGCATATCTCAGCTTTATGGTGAGCATTGAGTAGTAATATAAAGCACTGACTCGATCAGGATCCTATTTAAAAAAAAAAAAGAGGATTTATTTGTAATATGTGACTTCCAAATACAACAGTGGAATATTCTTAGAGCAACATTATGGCCTTGTATACTACCTACTTCATCAGGTTTATATTATAAAGCTATGTTTTCTTATCCCAGACTTACGCAAATGACTTTAATATATCTGAATGAGTTTTTAGGATCCTGAAGCAAACTGAATCATATTTGAATAAATATGTAAGTAAATAAAATATACTTCACACAAAAAACTGAAAACATTTTCAAAGGCAGTAAACATCTACCCTGGTATGTGAGCAAACTTTTTATACTGCTTTAATGCATTAGTGAACATCCCAACAAGCTTTTAAAAAACCAAATTCCATGTCAGGACTGACTTTCTCAAGAGTACATGTTATTACATGAGTAAAGTATGCTGTGGGAAGCATACTCACAGATAATTAACTTGCATATCTCTGTATATGTTATTGAAAATCCTGCAATTGCATAAGTATCTGTATCATCTTTCTTTTTTTTTTTTTTTTGGAGAGGTTTTTGCTACAGGGTGCATGCACTTGCCAGAAAGACAGAGAGAGACAGAGAGACAGAAAGTGAGAAATCACCCCCCAAGGGGGATGGCCATGCCATAATCCCTTCTCCTCTCAGGATCTTGGGCACACATACACACGCATCCGGCTTGAGTTCAAGCCACCGGGTCCGGGACTCGGACCGTGGTTCACTACATGGGAGTCCAGCGACATAGCCATTACGGTATCTGCTGGTCCCTCATCTTTCTTGAATAAATACCTATGTGTGTATTATTGTGTCTCAGGGCTGCTCAAAACCATGGATAAACTCAATATGTATATTCTTGAATTACAAATTTTATGTAAAGATGCAGATGTGTGTTTAAAGAGAACACACTAATTCTTGTATTAGAACACAATATGGGATCGATCTTAAGAATGAAACTGAAGGCTAAAAAAATAAGAAAGAATAAAGGCACATGTATTTTGAGCTGGGTTATTATTATTAATTAATGCTTCTGTTCTCTGGGGACCCAAATTCATATTCCTCTGGTAGAAAAGTATAAGAGAAAATGTTTTATTAAAAAGAAAAGAAAAGAATAATTCTAATTACTTGATAACTTATGTAACAATTATCTAGTCCACAAACAAAACACCAATCACTAAATACACATAATAAAAACTCCTATATTTTATTGATAGGATCCTGTACTTACTCATTCCATAGATACAGATCTAGTAAGCCTGTCACTTTTGAACCCAAATCAGGATAGAAAGAGACTGCAAGGACAAATGCGGTGACAGCATTGGTAATTGAAACTTGGTTAAACGTAAGTAAAAAAAAAAATACAAAGCAAGTAAGAATTTAACATCAATACTACTCTATGATCATTCAATATGTAGAAAAATAGCTGATCTATATTATAGCTATGAGTCATCAAGTAATAATTTATTTATATTGGGCATAACATTTTATTTTGAGCAGAAAACTTAGAAGATTGAACAATGAAGATGTTAGGGAACGAATAGAGGATGATTCTGTTTCTAGAATTAGAATAAGTAGACTACTATAATATAATGTGGTAAATTAGAGCAGTTTAAAATCCAAGTTCTAGGGACCAACAGTTAGTGTAATGGCTGGGTCACTGGACTCCCATGTAGTCAACTGCGGTTTGAGTCCTTGACCCGGTGGCTTAAACTCAAACCAGGCATGTGTGCGTGCGTGCCCGAGATCCTGAGAGAACAGAGGAGAAGGGATTGTGGTGTGGCCATGCCCCGGAGGGGTAATTTCTCACTTTCTATCTCTCTGTTTCTGTCTTTCTGGCGAGTGCACATTCCCTATAGCAAAAATATCTCAAAAAAACCAAAAAATATCCAAGTTCTAGAATTAGTCTTTCATGGTTACTTGTGTGACATTGGGCACTTTTTTTTCCTTATCTGTAAAATCAGCCTAACAGTACCTATATAAAAGGTTGCTATAAGGGGTAGCAATTTAGAACAAGTACTTTAGACAGAACAAGCACCAGTAAATATTAGCTACAATTACAAGTAATTCTTATGGGGACAGTGAGCTTAGCGTGGAGCATGTGGAACTCTGGTGATCTAAGGGGCACTGAGAGGCTATGATAGCTCCACTGTCAGAACCCTGGTCTCAAATCCCAGTTACACATGCCAGGAGATTAATCCTTATGGTCCTCAATTTCCTAATCTTAAAAAAAAGAAAAACAGTAATAGTAAATCACTCAAGAGTTTCTGTAAAGATAAAATGAGAATATGCAAGTAAAATACATGATGCCAAACACATAGCAAATCCTTCAGAAATTAAGGCTATTACTGCCCTTTATATACATTAGTTGTCTGCATATATGTAATTACATCATGTTTGCTAGGCAACAGAATATATTAATCTAGCAGGGAGATCTGGGCTAAAGACTTGGGAATTATTTATGTATATAATGGTTGCAAGAAGATAAAAAGTCGAAGATGGCATTCAGGGAGTCCACCAATAAAAGAAGAAACCTGGGATTAAATCTGGGTGAAAAACTGAAAGATGCATTAGAGAGGAAAAGAGTGGGGAAAGAAGTCATCTGCACATTTGGTGTCAAAAGCTGCTGCAAGTTTTGAAGTGTTCATTGGATCTGCAATCAGGAAGTCACAGGTGTCAAAGCTATTTAAGGAGGGGCAGAAATCTGGCAGCCACAGAATAAGGAACGAATGGAAGGTGGACCTGTAGGAGGAATATGTAGATAATCCTAGAATTCTATATCCAACTCTCTCCCCACCACTCCCAAAGGCTGTGACAGAGACAGTAGCTTTACAGGACAAAAAGAATGTAGAAGAAATTTGCTGTTTGTTTTGACTGTTCCCATGCCTCCATCACTTGTCCCTTTAAAAAAAGCAAATCATCCTTTATATTGCAACCAGAGTGATTTAGAAAATGTGTATTTTCTAAAATACAAAAAGGAGGGGATCATTTCACCCACTGGAAAAAATACCAAGTCCTTACCATTAGGGTCCAAGGCCATTTATAAAATTACCACTTGCCTTTCTTTACATCCCTTTCACAGGCCACATTTCAGCACACATTGTGTTCTAGCCCTATGAAACTACATATGTGCTCACAACGTACCAAATTCTCTCCTGCTTTTGTATCATTACACATACACCCTTCTCTCCTGAGAAGTGCTTTTCATCCTTTGTCACTCTTAACAACTCCTCACTGTCTTTTTTTTTTCTTTTTTTGGAGAGGTTTCTGCCATAGGGCACGTGCGCTCGCCAGAAAGAGACAGAGAGACAGAAAGCGAGAAATCACCCCCCAGAGGGGATGGCCACGCCACACCGCAATCCCTTCTCCTCCATTCGCCTCTCGGGATCTTGGGCACGCACACACACGCCCGGCGTGAGTTTAAGCCACTGGGTCCAGGATCGAACCGCGGTCGACTACATGGGAGTCCAGCAACATAGCCATTACACTAACTGCTGGTGCCACAACTCCTCACTGTCCTTAGACACTAGTGCAAATGGTACCCTCTCTAAGGAGCACACTCACCTCAAAGGGCAATTAAGTACTTACCTGTGCTCCCAGGGTGCCCTTGGTCTTTGTATCTCTCTCTACCTCAGCCCTGAATGTTCATTAACCCTGGTAAAATGTGACCTCTCACTAAATTCATGGGTTTTGAAGGGCAGGGCCCTACTCTCTACATCTATGTATCCCATTAAAAAAATAAAAATGGCATTAATAATATCCTAGAGTCACAAAGACTCAGGCTTGAGTTCTTATTTTGTCAGTGATGTGTTGTCTTGGGCAAGCTATTAGTTTCAGTATGCCCTGACTCTCTTCTTGCCTGGGAAATTAAAAAGTAACAATTTTATTTTAAGAAGAAAAGGGAATACCTGTGTGAAGTGAAATTAGCCAGGAATAGTAAGAAAAATAGCTTATTTTCTCAATCATATGTGGAAATTGAAAAATGACCTCATACATATGGAACAGAAGAATGACTACAAGAGATTAGGAAGGATTGAGCAGAGGAGAAGATAAAGTGGAACTGATTTATGGAAACAAAATTACAGACAGAAAGAAGAATTTCTAGTGTTATCAAATACTGTAGAGGCAATATGGTTAACAACAATTTTCTGTATATCTGAGTAACTAAAAAATAGGATTTTGAATATTCCCAACACAAATAACAAATGACTGAGATGATGGATATACTAATTTAATGTTATGCATTTTATACTTGTTCTGAAAAATCACATTATATCCCATAAATGTGTACAATTATATGTAGATTAAAAATATGCAAAAAAAAAAAAGGGGGGAAATACCAAAAAGCAAAGTAGTCAGCACACTGCAGGTGTTCAGTAAAATTACTTGATGTCCACTACTACTATATTTAAAATAAATAATTACATAATAAAATACATGCTTAAATAAATTATACGCTTACATTATTTTCTATTATTTAATAGTTTAATGCACAATTGAAGTAATAAACGCTAAAATTATTTACTGGAGACATGTAAATGTACTACAGAAATAATCACCTCTAAATGTTAATGTGTACTACTACAGCAAACACATACTTTGGAATTAATGACTAATATTTTATTAGTAACATTATCTGGAAAAATTAGAATCTTATAATATCACTTTAAGATTTCTTCCTCACACACCCTTCTAGAGTTTCTAAGAGATACTGCATAGAAAAATTAACCAGATTATGTTTCCTTTTATTTTTCTCAGACCACCTGACTAGGGACTAATATGTGACTAAAGATCTAGGGGAGAAAAAGCTAAGCAGCTTGGACAATTCATTCATTAACTGAATTTTATAGAAAGACAAAAAAGAAACAAAAAACTTTCATACATAATTCAGTTAATAAATAAACGATACACTAAATAAACAAGATTTTAAATAGGCTTTAAAAATTCCTTGGGTATTTAAATTTCTTTTATTCTTTTGAAAATCTTCCAGAATCTTAATGATAAGTGATCTGCTTCCCGAAGGCCTAAACGATAACAGGAATCATTAATGCAACAGGTGAAAAAACTGTTGCATCCCTTTCTCTAATAAAAGGAAAAAGCTGTATTTTCGCAGAAGTTTGGACGAGAATACTGAAATGCAACGCAACCATTTGGTAGGGATTGTTAAATAGTACATATTTTATGCGTATTGAAACTATCCTAAATCATTAATACTCTTATAGACGTAACAGATCGGTCACCTTTTCTCAGATGTAATTAAGGCATTTCACAGGCTCGAGATTCAGCACCAGGTTGATACTCTAAAAGGAAATAAACATACTTAGTACGTATCCGAATTAAAAGTGTTTAAACCAGAATCGGAGTAAGACAAAGATCGAATTCACTTTGTCAGAGAACCATGCTGAGCACTCCGCAGCCGGGGACAGCAGAGAAGGGAACAGAGTAGTACGGAGAGTACCACAGAAAGCGCATCCCTCCCAACCGCGCACAGGCTGTCGAGGTGCGGCGCGGCCCCGGCGCCCGCAGATCAGGCAGCCCCGGAACGGCCGCTCCTCCCGGGTCAGGCCGAGAGCCGGAGCCTCAACTCCCGCTACCCGGCGTCCGCAGGCTACTCACGGAGAGGTAAGCGCAGAGTTGTCTGTCCCTCCCCAGTCCACACCCGCCGCCGTGCGAAGCGGCACCCTGCGCCAAACTGGGCGGGCCGGTGCGATGCGGCCACGCAGCCAGCCCCGCCGCCGGAGACCCGGGCTCTTAGGGCAGTGTGGGTGCCGCAGTGCGGGCAGCGCGCCGCCCGCTGACGTCAGCGCCAGC